TTAGAATCATAGTTATCAATCAGAATGTTCTTTTATCCAAGAAAGCTTAACACTACATACTACCAAAATTTAAATAGCAAAATAGATGCTTCCTTTTTATTTGGTATTATTCACTGCAAAAGAATATTCCTAAATTGTACATTAGAAACTAAAAATTCAGTTGTTTCCTTTCATTTCTCACACAAAAAGTCTCTTGTATTTTCTATAGTGTTAATTACAAAGAAATGAAGACATTTACTCAAAATGGGGATTGTTGAGTAACACAAAGATATTGTAATTGGTTATACACTGCTTGACCTCTATTATTACTTTGGGGTTCAAACCATCAGTAGTGAGAATACTAACAATATTAACTGAAATATCTAAGAAGGTCTAGTATTTATGACAAGATTCACTTGGGGAAACTTCAGTGAGTTATAAGCTTAGGAATCACAAAGGTTATACCCTTAAAAATGTCATTTTGCTTTTATAAGTTCTGATATTTTTAATAAGAAAGATGCATAGTTTTTAAAAGATGAGAGCTTTGTCACAGACTAAATCTAACAATAAGAAATACTTGTTGAAAGTTAAAAAGAGATGAATGGGAAAAAAACAAATGATTTTCACATCAATACATAAGCGATAACTTGGGGAAAGACTGACTTACACCTAATTCCTTGGAATATAGTAACAAGATACCCCAACATATGAAAACAAAGAAAATATAAATAAATGAATAAAGGACCAAAATATAAGTAAAAGATACTCTTTCTTTCAGATGTATACAAAGTCAGATATTTGAAAACAAAATGTATAAATAGCCAAATATGTTTGTTATATACATTAAATATTATATGTCTATATATACATATATATAAAACATTGCATATATATTAAAAGTTAGGAAAATAAAACCAAAGAATAATAGTCTTTTTTACAATAAATGTATTTACCAAATTATTTCTATGAAAGTTCAAATGAGTCATCAGTGTGAATGCAAAGTACCTAAAATAGAAATCAATGAAATGGACATTCTGGCGATCACACACAAATACCATTCCCTCTCTCTCACTTCCATGTGGCTGTCATCTCCTTTTCAAAGTTACAGTCTAAACTAAGACACCACAAATACTTTTAAACCACAGATCCAAGGACAGCCTCAACGATACTTATCTCTCCCTTACAGTAAACTAACTTATTTATAAGAGAAAAATAGAAGGGTAAATTGTCCTCAGGTGGCGTGATAGAGAAAATATACTACTTCAAGAACTGAACTAATGAATTTAGGTTCTTAAGAATGATAAAAATCTGCATTTACCTTTTAATTTTGATGGATGGGTTCTTGTATCATTTAAGTATTTTTGAAAAGAATTTTACAGAAAAAGATCATCATTTCAAATGCCCTAATAATCTTTCAGTAAAATTCAGTAAGTATTTATTGAGGTGTTTGCCTATGATTGGCCAAGGTTTGTGGACTGGGGAGGGATGTGTTGGGTAGAATATAAAGACATAAGAATTGTAAAATCATGCTTGACCAGAGAATACCACCTCCAAGCATTTATATATCTGTTCATAGTTTTCCCTAAAGTATTAAGAATATATAATCTCCTTTTTTATTATAATGATAATCCCCAGCAATAGATAGGGTATCTATCATTCCTATTTTTAAGATGAAGATACAGAAGCCCAAAGTGATCGTGAAGTTTGCTCCAATATTCTTTAAATGGAAAATGAAGTAATGAATGGTCTTATCGAAGCACTTATATAGCTATGCAATCATGGCAAATCCTGGAAGCAGAGGTAAGTCCTTCTGTTTTGGCTTCTTGCTCTGTGTCACATTTGCTGCTGCCCAGTGATTTGGTGCCAAGAACACATTTTTCCAAATACTCCTAGACACACAGCACAGCCCTGCCAAAGAAATTGGGCTCTGGATAAGGGAAGAGATTATTTTTCTGAGATTCCTGTATATTCAAAATGTAATGCTTCTACATCCATTAACAAACAATGAGAGGTTTTCCTCATTTTAGGTCCTCCCACACGCCTAGTACAAGGCTAACCACATCACGTACACAAGCAGTGATCCTTACAGCTATACTTTTTAAGGTGGAACTTGAGGCTAAGATCAAATTGATAGAAAGTCCCAGAAAGAACAAACAAGTTCTGTTTTAATTTTGAACATCTGAGACAGATTTTCTGAGAAAAGAGACTGACTGGTCTAAAGACTTGATGAAAATGGAGGATGATCGCAATTTCTCCCTGGCAACAGTCTTTTTGCCACTGGTACCCCAATGATATGCAGCCATTACACACTAAAACAGCCATGATGGTTATAAAAAAGTACAATATTTCCATAGTAGTTGGCAAATTGCCTCTGCCCTGAGCACCCTGAATTCTCCTCTGCTACTCATGGCCTCCTCCCCAAAGATCCTCAGAGAGTCCTACCATTCAGCAACTAAAACATTAACAATTGGTGCAATAAGAGGCTCCAGAATCCTGCTGCAGCATGACCGGAGTCCATTCCAATTGGTCAACACTCATGGCATATTTTTAGCTGCCATCTAGGCAGCTCCAACTCAGTGATCTTACACGTACAGAACAAAACGTTGCCCTGCCCTGCGCCATCATCATGATTTTTACCATGTCTGCGTTTGAGTCCATTGTTGTGGAGTCGATTCTGACTCAGAGTGCCCCTGCAGGACAGCGTAGAACTACCCCACAGGGTTTCCAAAGCTGTAAATCTTTATGGAAGCAGACTGCCACATCTTTCTCCCGTGGAGCAGGTGGTGGGTTTGAACCGCCGACCTTTCAGTTAGCAGCTGAGCTCTTTAACCACTGTGCCACCAGGGCTCCTTAGTCACGACATACCAGGTGTTAAATATTTTGATTACCACACTTGGGTCCTGTTCTAATACCTATAGGCAACTCTTTCCACCAAGCCGTGATATTCTGATAGGAAGGAAACGCAGTCCCCACGGCACCCACAGGCATGTTTGCAAAGATCTGAGGAATGACTGCTGTGTTACAGGCACTGAACACAAGCCTCATCTTTTGAGATCTTCCCATTAACTTTGGGAATATTCAAATATAGCATATTTTTCTCTCATATTATTTTATGAAAAAAAAATGTATATACTATACTACATTTAGGAGTCCCTGGGTGGAACAAACCGTTAAGGGCTCAACTACTAGCTCACTCTGAGGCGCCTCTGAAGACGGGCCTGGTGATCTGTTTCTGAAAGGTCACAGGCTTGAAAACCTATGGAGCAGTTCTATTTTGTCACATGGGGTTGCTATGAATCGGAATCGACTTGACAGCAGCTAATAGTAAAAACAACATATTTATAACAGCTGCATGTACATAGAGAGTTTTTGGTAGACAAAATTGTCTGTCTTATGAACCAAATTTACCTTGATCTAGAAATCTTTGAATTTCAGAGTAGATGGGGACTTTACATCCAACTTGCCCATTTTGCAGATAAGAAAACTAAGAGCCAGGCAGGCTGAGTTGATCAAAGACACTGAATACTAGTCTTTCTCTCTCTGTCTCTTTTTTTCCCCCATTATACCACAGACCCACATCACTTAATTCAAGTGGCTACTTACTAGACTTAAGATTATCATAATATGAAAACTATTTAATTATTATAATTAAATGTATATAAATAGTATATCCTTACAAGCACTTAGTTGTAATTGGAAATGAAGGTATCGAAAGACATGTACTTTTTATGCACCATCTGTCACAAAATGCAATTTAGGTCAGTCTAAATATACAATATAAGTACCTGATAATTATTTACTGTTTTAGAAATTGCTTTTTAAATAAAGTAATTATGTAAATAATATCCTCCCTTAGCATTCCTATATAAAATTAATATTAACTAGAATATTTTCAAAACCATTAATACTAAATAATATATTTTCTTAAAGTGGGCATATAATGTCAATAGGAGAATTTTTGAGCAGTGATAGATTTCTCCAGCTACCTCAGAAGACAGCGTTTCAGATTGCATATACTCTGTCATTCAGGACCTGGGGAAAAAAGCTCCTTCAAAAAGTGAAGAAGAGAAAACAAAGGGGCGGGTGGGGGGGAAATCATATCCCAAGATGATTTAATTACCTTATAACCTTCTATGAGACAGTTTACATAAAAGTGGAGTAGCACTTTTAATTGGAATATATCGAAACAGAACAAATTAGTTTACTCTATTTTCAAATATTTTCATGGAAGTTTTGCTTCCTGTCTAGAAAGGCCAGAGTTTCTATCCTTGAAACAAAAAGATTAAAATATAAACTAAAAAAACAGATCCAAAATATTTATATACTTGTTATTCCGATACAATTCTCCAAAGGATGATTGATACGTAAGCCGATTAAAAAAAAACAAAAACAATCAAATGTGTAGGAAGCAGAGACGAACCAATTAGATAATACTACTTTGTATTTTTCTTGCAATTAGAAACTGTACATATTGTGATAAATGGACACAGCTTCATTCAGCAAATAGGTCTGGGTATTGTGATGAATTCTTGTGCAATTACAGAACTTTGTTGGAATGCCCAGTGGTCTCTAGATAAATTCCTTCACCCTCTATGGTAAACTTGTCAGGTAGACTCATTTCCTGTTTTTATCTAAGCACTAAAAGAACATGACCTTCATGAGTTTAGGACGAGTCACAGTACGATTCATTTCTTAGTATCAGCGATATTTAAACACAGAAGACAACTTCAATAATCGTTTACTTAACTGAATTTTTCTTATCCATAAACTACACTGTGGATCAATAAGCAGTGAATAGAGACCATAATTTAACACCAAAACCGTGTTATTTTTACATGTATATTAATTACTTTTTCTTTAAAGAGCTTGGGTTTTAATTCTGTTAGAATTTCCTGTGTTCTTCCACACCAGCGTCATAGGAAATCCTAATGTTCTCAAGATTTCTTTCATTTTGTTGCACCTGCTTTTCAGGATCAACAAATTAGTTTACAAGCTTGAAATCTCAAATTCAAAATACTTACTTGTGGGTGAAACAAGAATCCTGGAGAAGGTCTCAAGTATTTCTCTTTTAAAGCTTCAAGTGGGTCAGTTAGCTTTCTTTTCTCTACTCTGAAAGGTTAAAATTAGATTTTCAGGAGATGAATCAGTCTCATATATCAATCACGACATAATTACTGACATTTAAAACAGCTAACAATAAAGCAAATGGTAGGTTTCTGGGAAACACACTAATAAAAATATAAAGACGTCTGTTCAGGTCTTGAAGAATACACACAGCACTTCTTGGTATGCTCCAGGACAGAAGGTCCTATTTATAACGGAAAAATCCTATTTAATGACTAGTAATAATACTGAGAAAATGTGAAAAACAAGGAGCCACTAAATTGGAGGCATTTGTGACCAATTAGGTACCTTTCCATTTCAAATGTAGACAAGAATTGTTGCTGGTATGGGAATCATGAGGGCAGGGTGAGTTTTGAAAAATAAAGCCATTCCCTACCAAGAAGGTATTCTTTCAATATTCATTATATTTCTTCTGTATTTGCCAATGAGAGCAGGGGGGTTTTCAAGCATACTCTATGTCCGGCTAGCCACACTTTGAGATGTACGTTTCTTCCTTTAGACGCCACTGCTGATAAACAGGGCAGTGGAAGAGGATGAGGAACTTTTAAAGATAGGAAGAGATGTAGAAAATTGTAAGTCCCTTCTGCTTTAGAAATGTTTGTCATTCTACTTTCTTAAGCACTTGAAAAATGACATCGTGGGTTGAATTAAAGCAGTGTCACTTACCATATATTTAAAGACTACTTAATAAGTCCATTTTGAAAATAGAATTAAAACAACAACAGCTATCATTTCTTGAAACTTTTATCTGCTGTGTTTTATATACACTATTTCACTTACTGAAGTAAATGACATTATCCATCCATTTTATGGATGATAAAAAAGCCTATGAAGTGGAAAAACAGATTTAAACTCAGGTCTGACTCCAAAACTTGGGTTTGGTAAAATGGCAGTCCTGGGACCTTACCAGAGACTGAAGTACCAAAGACAAAATGGAGACTAGAGTAAGTGAGCGGAAGACTGGGAAGTTTGGGGGATGAATACAACCGGAAGTGGAAGCCCACTGCCATTGGGAGGGACTAAGAAAGAAAGTCTAGGAAATTATTTTGACAAAGGATTGAAATATCTCATTGATAAGGAAATACAACGTTACTAGCAATGTGTAACATACAATCTACATACAAAATACGGAAGATTTTTTTCCTTCTCTAGTGAAGGAACTGTCACAGGAATTAAGAAACAGTAATTGCAACCGGAAAAAAAAAAAAAAAGTGCCCAAACACAGTACTGATGGCTCTGAGACATTTTTGTATGCCCTTTTTTATCGCCTCTGTCATACTTAAATGGGGTAACTCTTCACATACTAGCAATGTTTCTTTATTAACGCACTATAGATAATATAGGAAGAAGTAAAGTTTTAATTGAAAAAACTTGTAGCTTGAGTACCTATTAAGTAATAGGAACTCTATAAATATTGCTGAATTAAAGAAGAGCAGAAAATTATCTCTTCATAAAACAGAATCGAGCAAAATATACAAATACTCTCATCTTAAATACGTCCAATAAAAAGTCATTCACACATCCCATTAATTCCTGACAGTGTTCAAGAATTGATTGTGAAAGTAAACAGGAAATACTTGGTAATAATTAAAATATGTAACAAATTATTTTTAATTTATACCATCTGAAGAAAACTCTATCATTCTGAATTGTCAAATGAGTATCAAAGAATACTGCCTATGAAGCTTTTTATTACAAAATATGTTTTGTCCAAAGAATTTTTGGATGCAACAGAGGAAACTGGATAATGAATGTTAAATTCGCTCATTAAACAGACAGGTTTTTTAAGCTGACCACTCACATTATATACAAAACATTTTTGTGGTTAATATTTCATTTACTTGGGGCTCCTAAGAGATTTATTTAGAAGCAGAATGTGACCAGTACTGGTTAAGAATGTGTGTAGGTTAACAAAGATTTGATTCTTGCTGTTGTATGTCCCATCTTATTCAAACCACCCTGGCCCATTTAAGTATCCACACATATTTGCATTAATCCTTCAGGAGTCTCATTCTTCCACCACTTGACAACTTGCTTTAAATATGGTTTTCCCATATTTTCCACTACAAAAAAAATAATGTGTTTAAAAATAAATTTATTGTCAAGGGAAAAAAAATCTGTGAAACTATTTCAAACCCCAAAATTCAGAGACATAAAAAAGTCTAAACCTATTGTGCCAACTTTCTGAAAAACAAAAAAAAGAATTCACCAGATCAACAAGTTCACACTTTGTTTTATAATAACGATAAAAATGATTTGTTAAAAACCGTAACTTTACAGTATAAGAACTACCTTTCCTACAAATGTTCACATTTAATTGTCTCTCGTCCACCCTTACCTGTAAATAGGGTCCATAAAGAAAGGAGTGGGTCTAGCATGCTGCAAGGAGCCATCTGATGCTGGTCTTGGTTCTACGTTGCTTCCTTTTTTTTCTCCAAACACATGGTTTTTTCGAGGCTCAGTCAGCTTTGTCCCACTGGCTCTACTCCTACTGCCCATACTTAGATCCAGGGGCTGGTCTTGGCTTGTGGCAGGCGTTGCTGGAGGCTTGGAGGGCACTGGAGTCAAGAGCTTCTCATCCTTTCTCTTAGTGGTGAGATCAAAGGGAGACTCAGACCTTCCCTTCTGCAGTTTCTTTACTTCACTTGGTGATTGGGGTTCCATTTTCAAAGGTAACGATCGCAACTCTCTATCAGGAAATGGGTACATTGATTGAGAGAATGCTGGAAAAAATGGGAGGGGAAACATGGAAGGGTAAGGTAAAGCTCCAACTTTTTTGTCTTGCAGCCCCACCAGTCCTGTTGAACCAAAGTATTTTTCAGCAATAGAAGCAATAGCCTTTATAGAATCATTCACAGCTCCTGACACCGCAGTTTGCTCCTCTAAAGATGGTGAAAAAATGGAATGATTGCTGTATTCTTTCTTATTATTTATTGAAGCCAGATTCTGAAGAGGGCTTACTTTGTCTTTGAACATTTTACCATTTTCTTTAAATTTCTCTTTATCACTTTCAATGTCACTTTCCAGATCAGAGCCCGAGGTTGTTTCCAGGTCACTGCCACTTGGCGTACTGACATCATCAAGGTCACTACTCTCTGACTGGTCACTGATTTTCTCAAGGGGCCTCTCTTCAGAGGACCTCTCGGGCTGGAGCTCCACTGGCTTATTGTCCCCTACAGGTGGGTGTTTAGATAGTGCCTTCAAAATATCCTGTGTAGCTGGCAGTATCTGAGGATGTGTCATGAGGGGACTTTGACTTTTGTTTGTCTGTTCAGTACTTGATAGTCCTTTAACAGGAGAACTAGCAGGTATCAAAGGAGGCCTGTGGTACAAGCCGGAAGGAAACAGACCAGGGAAGCTAAAAGAAAATCCAGGAGCTGTTGGAAAGGTAAGACCAGCAGGATGCCTATTGGCACCAAAATAGTCAGCCAGGCCCGGGTTGGCATGACTCATATTAACCATGGACGTTTTATCCATAGCTGGGGTTCCAGGAAGTGAAATGCCTTGGCCAAAAAATCCACCTGCCGCAAAATGGTTCTTGCCCTCACAAAACCTCCTGTGTTTATTTAAGGAAGACGTAGTGCTGAACATTTGTCCACAGTCTTTGCACTTGATTTGGGTTCTGCAATCAGCATGCATGCGCTTATGACGACAAAGGTTTGAAAACTGAGTATAGGATTTATGGCAGACCTCACCTGTGTGCAAACAACAAAAAAGAATCTCAGGCTTTATGGCAATTGCTTCTGAATTTAGCAAGTATCACAACTGGTTTACCCAAAATTTCAATCAGGAAGCCAGAAAAAGACGTTGGAGGCACCAATCGGGGTGCTCCAAACACAGAAAATCCCATTTCACTAGATTCCAAAGCAAGGCATCCAACCTGACAAATGTCTTGAGGCAGCACAAATATTTCATCTATATACAAAGATTCTATCATCCCCATTGCATAATATTTTGTATAATATTTGTGTATTTAAATATTGATGGAAAAGTCAAATTCCAACATGCAATGTTTCCCCACCCAGTCACCACACTAACAGAATCTTAAAAATAAAAGTCTTAAGTGCTAAACATAAAACATAACATTCTAAACCATTTGAAGAACTCTAGGTTGTAGGCATCAAAAAAATAAAACGGCCTTTCCCTTGGCCAGAAGCTTCACCTTTATTCCTTCTCCCCTTGGGGAAAAAGCCTGGGACTGCTCTACTATTATTTAGTTTGTATTATATCATACACTCTCATCATTCACACATCAAAGCCATACAACAATGCACATTGTGTATTCTGAGACATTTTTAACAATCATTTTCATGATTTGAGAAAGACTGACATAATTTACAATGGCTCTATTTTAAGCCTGCAAAGGAAACTAAATTGAATGTAGCCCATCCTGCATTGCTGGTTCCCATGAACTATGATCACGTCCTCTGACTTCCCCTCACACCAGTGGTTGTGCTAACCTTCCTGCATTTATGAAACCCCTGTCCTTGGGAAACATGTCCACTTGTTGTCATACCTTCCCCGTTTATCTCAGGGCTTGACTTCTATGTGTTATAGCCAATTATGGTGAGCAGGGGAGAGTACTTCAGATGCTCTAATTCAGAAAGAAGGACACAGCATGCTCCTCTTCACCAATTTGCCAATAAAGTATAATATCTTCCTCCTCACATATGCTTGGACATATCTAAGTATATTTTAAGAACAAACTCGATAATCCTCAAGAACTTCTTTTACTGTTAAGAATCTTTCACAGGATTCTTCCTCACTCACAGCCCAGCAGGATTATCATATTCGTAGGCATCACATTTTTATTACACCTTAGTAGAGATGAGTCCACTTTATGTGTGAGGTTACTTGAAAGCCACGCACACATTTAATACATGCAGAAGTGTGATTTGCCTTGATAATTGTTGAAAGAAATTAAGAAATTAAATTGAAGACAAAATGCAACATTTATTGCTTTCATGTGATGACTGCCTTTAAGTGAAGTATTATTGAGCTCCCAAGTCAAAGCAATAATTTTTTTAAAAAAATCATGCAAAGAAGTTTTTACAGACCTTCTTTCAAGCAAAACTCACCTAGAACTTGGATTATCCCATTCATCTTCAAAAAGGAAGTACAGAGTGATTGCATATGTATTTGTTTTTACTGCTAAAGATTAAAATGTACTGCTACAGATACCAATGTGCTTGGTAGTAACAAAGGAGCCTTCAACTGTGAGACGGCTCATGACATTGTAGGGGCTATAACATGTGTTTTAATGGGAAAAGAAAATGTGGATTTTTTTCCTCAAATTATTCTACTAGAACATATTGACCACAGTCTGCTTTAAAAGTCTATATTATTCAATCATTCATCATAAATATACATACTATTTACATACTTTGATATATTAATTAAGACCATAAAATAGAGAGAATAGAAACAACACTTTCACTTGGTATACTAATCCTATTCAGCTGTGAGCAATAACAAGAAATAGTAAATAAAATGTGGTTGGAATTACAAAAATGCACTCGTGAAGCAACTTTCCAGATCAGAGCCCTCTACTCAACACCTCTACTCTGTCTGGGCATTCAACCGAGTTGAGATAATGGCTTGATGGGTACTGAAACAAGGAGTAAGTTTCTGAAAGCCCTATGATTTTTTTTGCAAAGAAGTGCTGCTTTCTACACTTCTTTCTGCGAAAATATTCTTAAAATTTTACAGCTGGATGGATTTAAGAAAATCAGTATCAGCTCTACATTGGAGTAATAGAAGGTGCATTTGACTTCCCTCATTGCACACTATTGTTACACAGATGAGCAGCATCAGTGTCTGGCCTCAAGAACATGGAATCTGGGATGTACTCTTAGGCAGAGGCTTTGCTTTCATCACTGGAGGCCTGGCCTCCCACAAAACACAAGGCCTCCAGATAAACGGGTTCAATCGATGTTGAAGGCTATATTCTACTGTAATTTTCTCAGTAATAAGGAATTAGCCAGTAGTCAAAGTTGCATTTTTTCTACTTATTAAACAAGTTAAGAGGTTATTTTGAATATAGTCAGTCTATTAGAGCATGTGGTTTCTATTTGGGAAGGCTGGAGATTTCTGTAAAGGCACTAAATAATTACCTTAGCGCTGGTGACTTTGGGCTCAAGCTTGGTGGTACAGTGTAATAAGAGACAGTTGTCATAAACACACCAGTGGGGGTAAACCATGGTGTGTGGCCTTCTGGTGAGAAACAGATATCAACTCGAGACGAACCTCCTCTACTCCAAACTCCCCACACCAATTCTTGATTTTTAAATTCCTTTGTTCTGAAGTTACAAGGCTATTATTTGTAATTACTCCATGATTCTCTGTCAGATTTTATATTTGAAGAATGGCATCTGCTATTTAAATTTACCAATAATTACTGAAAATATGTTCATGGGAAATAGTTTACTCAACCTGATTGGAAAGGGACACACTGTAGCCTTGTAAAGTGGAACATTTGATTTCAACACTAAATTTTAGTTCCTAGAATCTGAGATGATAGGAATCTGTATTTTTTGACTTTTATTTTAAATAACAAAGTATTAAATAAGTGATCGTGACTCATTTTGGTCTATTTCACTGTTTTTCTCACCAAAACATAATAAAGTTATTAAAATTTATTTCTGAGGAATCAGGAATAAACGCCATATTTAACATTGTCTGCTTACAGCACTTGCAACTACATTTTTAGGGCATTACAGTCTAGATTCAGGAATGTCTTTTTGATACAAGAAGTCTAAAGTTTCTATTGTATGCTTTATTTCCCGTGACTTTCAACAGAGCTTCCCCAGGGAGACGAGAGCACCCTTTGTTTATCTGCTAGTCCTCCTCACTCCACCCAGGGAACAGAAGAACATATGAGTAAACAGGGCTCTAGTGTGAGCTGGAAAGGGAAAGAAAACCTCTCTTGATGTTTGGAAGCACAAGAGAGGGCTGTCTCAAGGCAAAAAGGAGGAGGGTTTGTCTCTGGCATCTCTACATTGGCACTGAAAATTGGTTTTTTTCCATCAGGTTCTGTAGTAGTGTCTCATCTACCTAATACAAACTATCAGGCATTTGTCAGAAAAACTGTTTTGCAAGGGGTTCCCAAGTCAGAGTTTTGCCAACTACTGAGTATGCTTCAGCCAATTCTGTGTGTATCTGGGTCCAAAAGCAATCTTGAAGTTAGTATTGGTAGCATAACTCAGTGAGTCATTGTGTTCATATGCCCAGCTGAGTTATGGATCAAAAGAAACCCAGAGTTGTTGCCCAGATGTACTGAGAACAACTGATTTTCCTTATGAAACAGTTGAGCACGATACATTAATACAGGAGTAGGTGAATGGAAGAAGAGACTAATGAAGGCTGAGTTTTATTTTATTTGAACTGTGTTACTAAAGTGCTCTGTAGTGGGACATTCTAAGTAGGTGGTCAGATTGGATGTCCTTGAAAATTGGCTGTAACATATGACTTTAGTACAGTTGGTAAGAGAAGCAGTGTGTCCAGTGTCAAAGTGAAAATGTTCTGCTTTTGCAGTAACGGGGAACTACCAATCTGAAGCCTGTGATCAGTAACAATGGATAGATTAAAAAGCATTTTATTCCCCTCTCTCTCTGTACACACATACACCCAGAGTCATAAGCCTACTTGCCAGGTGGGGTTCTTCCAGCTCTTTCTGATCCAGAACAGGTTTTTATCACTTCATCTTGTTTAGCGATATCTGCTATTCGTCGTTTTACAAAGCCATGAACATTTACAGTGTGAGACAAATCTGGTTGTCTCTATTAAATCCTACAACCTGGGGAGGCTTCCCTTTCATTAGTTAATGACTTTTCTTTTCTCTACCTGTTATTGATTTCATATAAAAGAAAACACCCCAGGGATCGTAGACAAAACACCATGGATCTGGTCATAAAAGATTTTCTTGTAATAGAAAATAGCGCTAGTGGATTGGACCATAAATAGCTAATACGATGACCGCCCTAATGGCCATGCGTGGCCACTGTCCTGATCACAGTGCCTTTTTGAGGAGAGACAGGTGCAGGAAAGAGGGCTGGAGTGTTAAAAACTTACAGATAAAGGGCTTCACACTGCTGTGGATGTGCTTGTGTTGTTTGAGGCCCGATGAAGTGGCAAACGTTTTGCCACACTCCGGGCAAGCGTGGGCCCGGGCACCGACATGCTGAGAGCGGATGTGCCGCTGAAGGTTGCTAGGGTCCGTGAAAACCTGCTAGGAAATGAGTACTGATTAATCAAGAAACTTAACCCAAAGACACAAAAAGAAGACCAGGCATGACTCAAGAATGAATTGTGGGATTTGTTTATTTTTGTTTGTTTACTTGTTTTCCCCGGAGAAAGTCTTATTTTAGAACGTGCTGTGCTCTCTAGGGCTGTCGCTACTGCAGTCCAGTTGATTCTGACTCATGGCGACCCCACGTGTGAAGAGCAGAACTGCCCCATAGGGTTTTCAAGGCTATGACTGTTCGGAAGGAGATCACTAGGCCTGTCTTCTGATATACCTCTGAGTAGGTTTGAACTGCTAACCTTTCTGCTAGTAGTCGAGTGCTTAACTGTTTGAGCCACCCAGGGACTCTTCTTCCAGGGTTGTTGTTGTTGTATGCCTTCGAATTGGTTCTGACTCACTGCAACCCTATAGGAGAGAGTACAACTTCCCCACAGGGTTTCCTAGGCTGTAATCTTTAAGGGAGCAGATTGACAGGTCTTTTCTCCTGCGGAGTGGCTAGTAGGTTCAAACCACTGACCTTTTGGGTTAGCAGCCGAGTGCTTAACCATTGTGCCACGAGGGCTCCTCTCCTCTAGGGTAGGGCCTATAAATTATTCAACTCTACAGCCTTAGTGGAGTACCCTGGGTGGTGCAAACGGTTGATGTGCTTGGCTACTTACTAACCAAAACGTTGGAGGTTCAAGACCCCTCAGAGGTGCCTTGAAAGGAAGCCCTGGTGATCTACTTCTAAAAATCAGTCACTGAAAATCCTATGGAGCACAGTTCTACTCTGAAACACATGAGGTCACCATGAATCCGAATCAACTCATTGGCAAATGTTTACATTCTTAGCACAGTGTATCTATTGGTATTAGTTGAACAAAATAATGACTGGCATTATTAGGCCATTAAAGGCTTTTTTGGACCCATTTAGAGTGATGAGAATTAAATAATAAATTTCTGGCCATGCCATTATTAAAACTTATGTGCTATTTTCACCCTTTAAACAAAGACACATTATGTGTAAGATTTGGGGGCTTTTAACGAAGTACCCCAATCTATTTTAAAGAGGTTTCCTAAGGATTAAATTCTGACACTGTGTTTCAGTAAATTACCAGTAAGCTAAAATCATTCCTTTGGACAAAGATACAGACATCGTACTAAAGGAATGGAAAAGCCGCCCACATAACTGGGAATAAAAACATCTCTAAAGATAAATTCAAATGTCACAATTCCTGTGCGCATGAGAAAAGGTATTCAAATGCTACAAAAAGTTTTTTTTTTTTTTTTTTGGGAAATATAAAGAAAATTACTAATACCAGAACATCTTTTTTTTCTTAATTGAGGAACATGAACATAAAAACATGTGAATGACGGTACTGTATTCACAGTTATGGTCCCAGTGGATTGGTTTCATTTCACCCTTGGGTTCTTCAGCCCCAGCCACTAAGGCAGAGGCTCTGCACTCTTTAATTAGAACCAAGTTGTGACTTACGGTGGGGATTGCATGGAAAAATCTGCAAATTTAGGAGTCTCCCATTCTTTCTGAATAGGCATTCAGACACTTTATGCGACTTCCTCAGAAACTGCTATTAAAAGAAATCAGTAATGTGCACTGGATAAAATTTACATTCTCCGTAAGACTATAAGACAACCCCATGCTGGCAAGTTAGTAGCAGAACCAGGAATTTACCAGGGATGTCTGACACCTAGTTCTGGAACTCACCATTAAGCCTCACTTCCTCCCTTACAAAAATAAAAGGATACCCACTAAGTGTTTTTATACACTGTACTAATGCCTTTTAGCATACAACACTCAGACTACTTTTCTCAAGATATTTATAGTCTCCCCTTTTAAGGCTTGTTTTTATATATTGTAGCAAGTGATGGATTAAGAAAGAGCCGGGTGACACAGAGAGGGCGCATAGCCTACAAATTCACTGTACCTTGGCACAGTTTTCACATTCATAGTGCTTTCCACTGTCATGTGACATCTGGTGGCGAATTAAATTGGACTTCCAGTTAAATGCCTTGGGACACTGATCACACTTGTATTCCCTCTCTTCGGTATGTGACAACATGTGTTTCTCCAGGCTGTTAAGAGAACAATTGATTTAATAAGATGTGGTGACAAAGAACACATTCATAAACAGAGTGTCATTTTATTACTAATCCAACTAGCAATTAAAGAAATAAGAAGGAAAAGGAGTTGAGGTGAGAAGGAGGAAAGCGAAGAAACAGACTTGCCACAGACAAAAGTACATTTTGTGTTTCCTAGACCGAGGCAGAGAAGTGCCCCTATTAGAAAGTAGGTCTGATACAGCTAACAGGGATTATCTGTTAGCCTAGGGGCATAGTAAACAAGTTCTGGGCTCACTACACAATTCTAACAGCAATACATATTCCCGATACCCAGTTGGTTCAAATATAAACACTCAAACAGAAAAGGTTAAGAAAATGTTTAAGAACATGTAAACAGGCATTCTGTCTAATGTAGTTAACCTCTAGATTCAAAAAAGACTTTTGTTTCTCTCCACATCACTATATGGGAAAGTGAGCTGAATGCTAACTATTCAACAAGCAACTTCTCAATATGACCCTAGGGTGGATGGATGAATGAATAGATGGATGGACAGAGGGACAAATGCACACACACACACACAACATATATATGCGTACACATATATAATACATATATTCAATATATATTATATATAGGTATATATATTGAAATGAAATCTGTGAATTATGTATGAAAGAATGTGTATAATATCTTAAGTAAACCAAAAACCAAACCAAACCCGTTGCTGTCAAGTCGATTCCAACTCATAGTGACCCTACAGGACAGAATACAACTGCCCCATAGTGTTTCCAAGGAGCAGCTGGTGGATTCAGATTGTGGACCTTTTTGGTTAGCAGCCAAGCTCTTAACCAAATGCACTGTTAAAGCCTCTCAAAAGAAAAACATGGCTAGAAGTTTCTCAAATGCGTAGTTTCTCTATGTTTTAAAGCTTAGAATACTTTCCGTTCTCAAATGTTTTTCTCCGTCTTCTAAAAATTGTGTAAGAAATCTGTATGAATGCAATGAAAAGCAAATATTATATAGATAATGGATTACTGTGCTATTCAGAAGATATTTAAATATACACACACACATACACAACATACTAAGATGCTATCCCCCTCTAAAGTAATGAGAACTCCTTGGATAAACAGATGATTTCAAATCTGAAGCAGGAAATACACAAGCTGGGCCTTGACCAAAAAGGTCAAGAAAACCACGCAAATTATAGATTGTATAAAAAAAAAAATTCAGGTGCCAAACTAAAGAGGCTCCCACTGACAAAAAATGGAGCAATTTAAGCATCAGTAAGAATAACGAATCTTTTAATAGTAACAATACTCCAAATCACACAAACAGAACCTCGTTGGTCACCACTGGAAGATGCTGGGAACCCAAATCATTATTCTGAAAACTGATAAACGGAAAAACTCATGCACATGCCCAGCCTTTTCTATATGAATTGTACCTCCAGGCAACCAAATAGATGATGAGAAGTCCTCTGTATAGAATTAACTCAGGTAATAAATGTTAAAAGAATGATAGCATTAGAATGCAACCATTTTATAGCCCCTGAAGAATTAATGAATCTAGGCAATCCATTATGCGCCTCCTGATGGAAATAAATGACATCATCAATGAGATATTTTTGCCAAACCTTGAACCTAAATCTGATTGAGGCTTGGGAATGCAACTATCAGTTTACAGGAAATACAGGGGATGGAGAAAGATGCTAAAAAACACAAAGGAGATATATCAGCAGAATCCAGACCGGAGGAAATGCTACAGGAAAAGCAACTGAGTTTCTTCTATAAATAAACTGCAGTAAGAGAGTGAGAGTGACAGAGAGACGACAGACAGACACTGACTGGAGGGACCTATGGATTAAAAGAGACATAAAAGGCATGTCAACTAATTGCAATGTATGAACCTTGTTTTGATTTTAATTCAAGCCAAAAAAAACATAAAAATTATAAGATAATTTGGGAAATTTGAACACTGACTATTTGATAATATTAATAGTTGATATATTAAATATTAATAGTCATATGTTTAACTGTAGCATGAAACTTACATTTTAAAAGAGTCCTTACTTTCTAGAGATACATATTCAACTATTTGTAAATAAGATAATACAATGCCCAGGATTTGTCTCAAATAATCCAAAATGGGTACAGCTGAGACAAGATTGGCCTTGTGGATAATTACTGAAGCCAAGTGATGGTATATGGGGGTTTATTATACCATCCTCTCTGGTTTTGTATATGTCTGGAATTTTCATAATAGAAAGTTACTTAAAAATACAAAAACAAGACTACCAGCATGAAAGCACTTTTTCTTTTCCATGTTTTCTTTCTCTGTGAGATGAGGACTCTAAATCTGAGTATCAATTAAGGCCTCTAGGCACCTAGAATATATGACCCAGTGATTGTGTGGACTGTATGCATGAGTTTGTTTTTAAAATGCAGGGCCAGTTCTCGTATTTCGGTAAATTAGAAAGACTTTTCCAATACTTCTTCTTTTCCTCAGCTTCCTCCCTACAACTCTATTCATATTAGCATGTGAACTTATTTTTCCTCCCCACGAGTCAGTGGGGTTGGAAATGCTATTCTATTTGAGCACAACTAGCGATATCTCCGTGAACAAATGCTTCCAGGAGAGTACAGGTGTGTGGAGTCACAAGAAAGATTATCTACAATACGTAATCTTCTGTTCCTTACAGAAAGTGAAATATTAATAAAAGAGTTAAGAGTAAGATATCAACAATTGCAGTTGACATTGAACTGAGTCAGAGACATCCTCCAAAATCGTTGTGTAGGTTGTTATTCTCACTGACCATTCTTAGCAACCCATGAAAATATATCATTTTATCATATATTCCAATATGCTGTATTTCAAATCATAAACTCTGAAATCTAGTGTCAAAACAGTGCGTCTTATTCCTGTCCTCTAACTGCAATGATATGGTATAATTTTAAGTGTATTTTGAGTACACAGCACTTGGGAGAAATAAGAAGATACCAAAGCAAAGTTGATTTCCTTTTCTTTTCTTCTTCTAACTAGCAGAAAATTCATACTGTCACTGGAATTATAAGCTATCAGCTAGTCAGTGATAAAAAAACAGAAACCAAACCTATTGCCATTGAGTCAGTTCTGACTCATAGTGACCCTATAGGACAGAGTAGAACTGCCCCCATAGGGTTTCCAGGGAGTTGCTTTTGGATTTGAACTGCGGACCTTTTGATTAGCAGCCAAGCTCTTAAGCGCTGTGCCACCAGGCCTCCAATCAGTGATAGAAAAAAAAAGGCAAGTGTTTTTTGAAAAAGCAAACGTGCTTTGCCTTCATAAGCATGGAATTAATCCAATTAGTCATTACTGTGACCTCTCCACTTCTCATAGAATTTTATCCCAACCTACAGAGTTCTGCTCAGTGATCTAGGTTCTTTCCATCTTTTGCATATAAACCTTTGTTTCTTACTCCTTTTCTCAATATTTTACGTAAAAGATACAAAACAGAATGCACTCACATCAAGAACGAAATTTTCATTTGTTTCAAATATAAAGCAACAATATAGCATTCACTAAAGTAGACAATGTAGTTTCTGCACGTGGCTGAATTATATAATTCATAACCAAAAAATCCACTTTATAATGACATGCTATTTCAACCTGGCTGGGTTACTGAAAATGAGTTTTGAGGGTTACACAATGCCAGATATCTAGGTTTCCTTACTGTTTTCCACTGAAAGTTTGACTCAATCAACTAAACTGACAGTTGGTTTCTGCATTAAACAGATTTGACTCAGGCTTAATTTTACAGCTAGTCAGATGAAGACGCTTTCTCCATCCTAGAAGTGTTGCTTTACACTTTCAGTAGGAAATCAGAATTACACTGTAGTGTTTAATCTGTCAACTTTTGTTTTCTAATGCATTCTATCATTTTTTGTTAAAAAAAGATGAAGGAAGTATACTTAATCTCTGACCTCAGAGGGATTGCTTTACTTCGTAAATAGTTTTTCAACCCATTGGTATTTATTAGTTTCCCTTCGTTTTTTAAGTTGGACATGATCACGTTTAAGGGAACATGCTGTGACATTTGTTGATTCCAAATCCATAGTTCAGCAAACCATGTATAACATTTATTCTCTATGTGGATTTAGGTTATGTGGTAAAAATGAGTTTAAAGGGTACTAGGATAGTCCTATTACAGCCTAAAATGTTTTCTCTCTAACAGCTAAATTAGGCCTGAATTTGCAAATCTAGGTCCATACTTTGGGAAAAGGTTATACTTGCTGCCTTTTTAGTCATGTATGGGTAAAAGTGAACGACCACGACATGAAATCTTTTCCCTGAAGAGGCCTAACCAACTGAAGAGGATACCTGGCAATCAATGCAGGAGAAAAGGAGAGGGAGGAAGAAGATGCCACCAAGGAGGAAACAAAAGGTGAAGTTGAGATTGACCCGGAGTCAGAGACAAACTGAGGAATTCACACACTTGAGTAAGGCCAGTTCCTATATTACTATACCTATTTAAACACAATGATGTGATGTTCACTTGAAATTCTGATTATAGTAATGAATACAATCATTAAAATTGTTTGTTGACCAACCCAAAAACCATTAGCTAGAAACAAACAAAAAGCAAAAAACCCATGAACTAGTTATATATATCTCAGATCTTAAAGGACCATTTTACAGCATAATTATCAATAATTATCAATATAGTTTGCAAAGCGTAGGTTACAGGGTTTTTTTTTTTTTAATAGAAATCAAAAATGTTCTTGAATTAAATTTAAAAGGCTACAAACAGTTAATACATCACTGAGATACAATTTTAATTTTTTTAAAAGTAAGTATTAAAGGATTATTTCATTTAGCGAGTCATGTTTATTTTTTTCGTTTTAGAAAATTCAATACTTGCATCACTGAATATGCTTCTCTTACTCTTCTATATATGTACACTTCGGATAAATTGCTGAAAATTAAATTCATGGGTTACAGTGATCTTCTAAGAGATCCTTTTATTTTTCATTATGTGAGTACCAAAGTCAGCTTTTTTTATCACTATTGAAATGTTCCTAGAGGTGAAGTTGCTGTTTCTTGGCATTTGAATACTTTAATGACCATCATTGTTGCTCCAGCACTCTTAAGGTTTTCTCTAATGATCACGATTTTACTGTAACATTAGGCTCTCTGTTTCTGATAACATTACTTAAATAATTATATAACATATTATTTTTAATCTGGCATCAAAGTAACTAATTCTAACTTCACTATAGATATTTTTATAGATGAGAATTTCTGGGATGGGGGAACATGATTTCTGAACATGTCACTAGCGCACTTGCCTGGGTCATTGCAGTTGCAAAATTTCCCATCTGCATAAATTCTCAAAATTCAGCATAACAACATTTTATTGCAGAGTAAATAAACAAGTTTGATGGTGCAAGATGCCATTTCTAACCTTTGCAAATCGGGGAAAACTTGGTCACATTCCTTACACTCCTGGATTGCATGTATCTCCCGGAGATCACTCTCGCTTTCGAGTTGTTGTCGAAATTCCTCTTCCACCATTGAAAATGCTGAGTGAGGAGTACTGCATGGGAACTTCTGGTGGTCCGCTAGTTCAGCTTTAGATTCAAAGAGCTGGTCACAGTCCTCACAGCGATATTGTCGTTCTTCTGTGAAAATAATACAGGTGTTAACAGGATTGGGCGTCAGGAAGTGCCACCACCAACCAGCAGGTCTTACTGAATTATAGAAGACATAATATAAATTATTTGGTTGTCGTTTATACCCCTTAATTTTAGTACACATTAAAAAAAAAATATGTAAAAGACCCAGGATAGAGTCTAGCAAAATAATGCAAGGGATTATTCTGGCTACACTCTAGCCTCCTGATCAGATGAAAATTTAAGATTAAACTCTTCCAGGTTCACAGGATATTAAAAGTAATGACCATCACCTACTGAGCATCATCTATTTTCTCAAAACTGTATATGGATTACTGATATTCCCTAAAACTTGTAATGAGGAATTATAGGTCAGATTTTTTTTCCAATTTTTAGATGAGGGAACTGAGTCTCAGAGAAGTTAAATAACCCGTCATGGATTACAGGGCTAAGTGGTTGTGCCAGGATTGGAACCGGTCTCTGTCCCATATACTTCTCACTATGCCATGTTGCTGAGAGGGCACAGTTAAACATGCTTCTCCATGTGAACCATGTTTAAGCCTGGCCAAAATCAGTAAATTAGGAAATACTTTAAAATCCATTATTATTTATCATGGGACACAGGATGTTTTTAGAACCTGCTTGGCTAATTTATGTTACCCCAGGGTCAGTGCCCTAGCTTTGTTAAATAGCAAACACATCATGAATTTGTACTTTAAATAGGTAAGATAAAGAAATGCTAGTCGTGAGGACCAGAGATAACAAAGTTATAACATGTCAGCTAGTGATGATATTCTGCTTCTATTTTGTCCATCTGAATAGCTTTTAGCCCCAGGGGTTCATGAGACCACACGATGCACAAATCACAATGACACAGATGCAGAAGTCTTGAAGACGCAAGACGCTGAAAATATCCAAGGCAAACAGCATGGCACATAATTCCTATTTTATAAGCCTATAGTCAAGGAAGAAGTTACTCTTCAGTTGTTCATCAACTGACTCAATGTTTTTGAGGGAGTATTTTAGTCACCTACGAACGTAGGCATTATGCTAGGGAATGAATATATATGAAACTTATAGACAAGGAGATACACATGTGAACAAACAGAATGATATATGACAGATGTATGCATAGGACCTAAGGCAGCCCAGAGGAACAGGCCTAATCCATCTCATTTTGGGGAGGGAGGTTCAGAAAAGGTTTTGCAGTGAGCGCAATAAGCCAGGTAGAGCAGTGGAATGACGACGGACATTTCAGGCAGCAGGAATAGCATGTACCAATGATGAAGGCAAGGAAGAACAAGGCAAGATCTTGGAAGTGTAAAGATGTAGAAAAATATGAACAAGTTTATACAGTCATATAAGGGAGAAGTGGGAAATGAAATTAGACCGGGTGGCAGATTACTAGGGGCTTTTTAGGTTCGCAATAAGACGAGAACAGAAAGCCACTGAAAGTTCGAAAGCAAGAGATAGTCAGACTTGCTGTTTAGAAGAATATCCTCCGACTGCAAGTGTGTGAAGCCAAGCAGAGAGGCCAAATGGGAGGCTGCTGCTTAACCCGTACATGATACTGGTTTAGTTTAAACTAAACCAGTATCAGTGGGGCCAGAAAGATAAAGAAATTAAGAATAACATTCATAGGGTTTGTCTACTTTAGATATAGAGGGTTAAGGAAAAGGTAAGTATTTTAAAATAAAAACTCACCTCGGCACTAAAGACAGGATTCTCAATAACATTAACTAGGTACCAGAAACATTTCCTACAGTCTGCAACACAGTTCACACATTTAACATCTATACATAGGTTCTCACCCAGCAGCTTAAACACAAACAGAACCTCCAGGCCACCTAATACGTCACTTACTAGTCATGTGGTCTTGGCCAATTTATTTAGCCTTTTAGCCTCAGTTTCCCCATCTGTAAAATGGATATAATTCTTTTCTTTCAGGTTTAATCTATATGTGAAAGATTAAATGAGACAGTATATGGACACTAATATCTAGCATATCGTAGATGTGTTAATACATGTGTTTTACTTTCTCTTTCCTAGGAAAAGTTAAATCCTAGAAGTATAAAACACAAACCATCATTTAAACATTATAGCCATTATATACCATTATATATACGTAGTATATGCATGGATATGATACAATGAAAGCAAAAAATCAAGGGTTGAGGTTCAAAGGTCTTGTAAAGGCAGCTGATGTGTGCATGGCAGCTCTAAAAGAATAGCCACTGTATTTCATCTTGTTTCAGGATAGTAAACTGATAATGTGTATTTTGAAAAATAATTGTTTGAAAACTTTTCAGATTTAATGTTCACTGATGAATGATGCATTGCACTAGAGAAAGCCTGGTTCCATTTTTTCAATCTAAATATCACCCCCCTCGCCGCCAAAGAGAGCTGGTAAGAGTCCTTTCCCATCAGACCACACTCCTCATTCAGACTCAGACTCTACCAGGCTGATAGACAACTCTGGTTTCTAAAGGCATGTGTGTCTGTCAGAGTTTCTAAAATGAAAACAGGTACCAAAAACCCCCCTTAAATCTATTTGGTACAACCTACAAATAGGCAGAATTCAGTTAAGCTAAAGGAAAAAATGTTCAAGTAAAATCCTAGCCAACAGTGATAGCTTCCTTCACAGGAGGTATAGAAGCAGAGGCTGAAGGCCTTCCTATCAGGAATGCTGGAGGAAGGCAGTGGAGGAATTCCTTCTTCTCTGGTAAGTTAGGATGGGTAACCCTTCCTAGTCCTTCTAAATGCAAAATACTCTAAAGACACCACTAGAATATGTTGAACCAAATCACATTCTATTAAGAGAGAAAAATAGAAGAAAAAAATATTAAATTATTACCCCAAAGATACAAACTAATACAAGTAGAGTCTTCTCTTAATCTGCCCTGAACATGTATTAATAGCATTTAAAATTCTTTTGATGCCCCCTTCTTTTGATTTAGAATAGGCCTTTGGCAAACAAAAATTGCTCTGACTCTAAAATTCCTTCATTGTTGCTTCTCTCCCAATCAATCCACCTCCCTCCCTCACAAAGGTCATGCTTGGCTGGGACTGTATTCAGTTTGGAACACTTCTCCCAGTAACAGAGTATTAGATGGAAGAAACATCCGCTAGATTGTTCATCAAGCTCCTTAGAATGACTTCCATGCAGTGAGAGGGTTCTAACCACCATCTAAGGCATTGGCAAAAGGTTTAACCACGTGATGGTCCCTCTATAACTCTCCCAGTCCAAATATTCAGAAAATCCCTTGACCTTCACTTCAGAGAAGCCCTCTACTTACTTTAGCTTCACTGGAACGTTAGCCAGATGTCAAACCAAGAAAACGCCACTCCAAGAGAAGGAGTTTGTTAAAACTGACACTGAATAGCTGGGAAACAAACAAGCGTACAGTGGGATGGACCCATCAGATGCTACTTCAGTGTCCAAAACAGGGCGACGAGGGTAGTCGTGGGAGCGGTACTAACCGTGGATATCCGGGGCCATAGTTTCATGGGGATAGTCTTCACTCTTCATGAACAGTAGGAGCTCCTCTCCTGGCGCAATGTCTGTGACTACTCTATAGAATATCTTCAGAAGACAAAGACAGGCGGGGGGAGGGGGGAGAGAAAGAAGTGAATATTAAGAAAGGGCAAGATATACACTAAGATATCTGCACATTTTCTCATACTTCAACAAACATACTCCTTTTTATTTTTATTGTTATCAAAAGAAGTGTGACTTCCTGTTACAGATACTGCAAATGAGCTCTGTGGTGACAAATGGAAATCTGCGATTCTCATGCCAATTCACAAATCTTTTCTGAATCTTACTTCACCAATCAAATTTTCTTAATGCAAGGCTTGCTGTGTCACACATACCATGTGCAATGTTTAACAAAGAACTCTCGCTTCTGGGAACTCCTCAAAGCACTCTAGGAAGCCACACACATCATGGCATTGAATCCTGTCTTGCATTATCCAGTAGTAGCCTAGCTAAGGCTGGTGGGGCTCAATTGCCTGCCTTGAACATGTTCTCAAAGGTGGCTGCTTATCAACCATGTTTGGTTTTGTTTTTGGTAAAAATGTAGGTAACACAACATTTGCCAATTCAACGTTTTTCACGTATACTATTCAGTGAGATCCACTGCATCAATTGTCTTTAAGGTAATAGTTTGGCAGGACGTGACAAGGAATCATGACAGCAAGGTCTGCAGAGAACGTGAGCTCAGAATACTTTGATTTTAAAAACTTAATTGCGCTCACCAGTCAAAGGTGGTGCTTCCCCCACCCAGGACCTGGCCTGAGGCCCCAGCTCCTGATTCTGATTCTTTGAAAGCAGGTTTTATGCCTTTCATTGGTTCATTTAGCTGTGTGGTAGTGGTGCTGTGACTGTGGTGGTGGTGATTTCCATTGCTTTCTAGCAAGTGCTGAGGAGAGGAAGGATTTAATCAATCTGTAATGACAGACTGAAAAGCCGTGGGGCATGTGGGGAAAGAACCTTACCTGGAATTTCCAAAAGCTACCTACCTACCTTTTCCTTAACCAGCCATGTGACCTTAGGCAAGTCATTGCCTAATTTATTTGTCTAGGCTTTAGCTTAGTTTTGTTTTTTAAAATTTATAAAAGCATTTAAGCAAGAAAATCTTTAAGATGTTTTCCATTTTAACATAAAAAATATTCTGAGCTTCTAATTTCTTTTCTAAGATTATTTATCAAACAACAATTTCACTACAGAGGAGCCCTTGTGGCACACTGGTTAAGTGCTACGGCTGCTAACCAAAAGGTCAACATTTCGAATCCACCAACCGCTCCTTGGAAACCCTATGGGGCAGTTTTACACTGTCCTATAGGGTCACTATGAATCAAAATCGACTGGAGGGCAAAGAGTTTAGAGGTCATAGAAGAACAAAGTTGTACTGATTACATCCTGCCAAAATATCTTTGCAAAATCCCTCATCCCTCTGAGAATGAGATTCATCCTTTGCCTTGTAGCCTCTTCTCTCTCTACAACATCACCAATGAAGCGTCTTTTCTCTCCTTGCCCTTTCTGAGGAGATCCATAAACAGAATTTCAGTGTTAGTGAGCCACTCAGATTCTAAATATCTAGGCGAGGCAGAATAAAACATCACCGCCACCCAAAACAGAAAGCATTGCTCAGTCTTAATCCAAGGGGGTCAGGGGGAGGAATTAGAAACTGGTGCACCTTACTAAGAAACGGAAAGAATATAGTCTTAGAAGATATTGCTATCACTACGGTGTCTTGAAAAACCATTTGATGTCTCAAACTAAGAAAATTTAATGACTATTATTTCTGGGTATCCTACTAAAATTTGTCTTGTAAGAACAACAGAAATGCATAGAACTTTAATTGTATTTATCTATTTGTTTATGTTTTGAAAAGCTGAGGACATCAAATGTAAGTACGTGCTTCTTTATTCCAGTAGGTGGCTCTAAAGTCCAATTGTTTATTTTTCTACAAAACGATCAGAACGCAAATTGGCTAAATTCAAAACATAATTTAATGAGTATTTTCTCCTCAGTATTTTTTTCTGTTGAAACAAAATAATTGTTTTTAATTCAAGAGTAGTTTAACTACCTGAAGTTGGTTTATAGAAAATAATGCCAAACATAAAATACTACTGTAATATGTTATAATATAACCTAAGATTCTTTATAATGATCCATAGATAGAATCTAGACTACCTTAGGAAAAATACTCCTTGTTACATGCTGTTACCATAAAACAAAGTAAATCTGCAGTTTGTATCTTTCACATCTAACGTTTGCATTTTCCCTTCTTAAGAAATACACCTAGAGGAATATTTCTGCTCAAAAGTTACCTGATTTTAAATATATATATATATATTAAAATATCACGTGTGTGTTTGCTTTCCCCCCCAAAATCTTCCAGTAAAATGCTTATAAGTACCCTGTTTCATTCTGGACTTCTAGTTCCCCTTAGAAAACAATGGACTTCTCTCAACAGCTTGAATCACCTCTTTTTTGGCATCTCTCAAAGGTTTAACTTATTAGCTTCCTTTCCAACAACATGTTGACATTTGAATTGTGGCATATTAGAACTTTTTGGTGGCTTCTCGGAAATAGTGAGGTTAAAGAGACAATGCCCTGCAAGACAGTAAAAGGCAGGACAATTGTCTCTGTTGGGGAATGCTGCTTTGACATACATGCCAGGTCATTTTAAGAAAGTATTATGATATCATTATTTTTTTGTAGCCCACTATTAAGCATGTCTCCTTTAATCCTATTTTAGATTTACTCAATCCAATGTGAACAGTCCAAGAAACAAAAGCAAATGATGACTATAATGTAACTATATATTATAAAGACAATTCTCTTTACCAGGACATAGATCACTACTGTAATTTCCCTTTAAGTGCCCAGATTGTCATGTAAAGAATATTGAGTGCATAAAAAATAAAAGACATGGAAGAGTGTTGATGCTGGCTTTATTTACTGGAGGTAAAAGGTGACATTCCTGGCCACGAGAGGCAAGGCAAAGCAGAGTGGGTTTTAACTTCAGGGTGTACTTTTCGATTTTAAGTGAGTTTTTATGGCGCTCACGAAACTGAGGTTTGAAAAGAACTGGCAAGTGCCAGACATGATGAGGGCAGATTCTGGGCATGCTTCCCCATATAGCAATAACAATGTGCCTTGAAGTCTCATCTGCCACATCCTTACAAATCTAGTCCTTTTGTCAAGGTGTTGCTGCCTCCTGTGACCTTCATTATATCTCATCTCTTAGGACCTTAGAGAGACTTGCGTAAAATCAGGGTTTTCCCCCATAATTACAATGGTCCAAAAGTATAATTTGAATACTTAAATCCAGAGATGTCTACACATAAATCTAGCTCACTTTCTAGAGATAACAGTAATACACCAGGAGGCATTTGAGAAGCGAGACGACTAGCCTAAACCAAAATAAAATGACAATTACCTGGGGAATAATAGAACATAATCTTGGAGGAATCAAGTCTTTCAGAAAGTAAGATATCATATCTATGTTTTTATAAAATAGGTCTTTCAAGAAATAAAATTATGATAAAAAAGTAATTGATATAGATTTTTCTCACGGATTTGTATAAGTGGACATGACCATACTTAGAAAAAAATATAGTCATGATGTCCTTAAAATCAGTGTATTCTCAAAATCTTAGCTATATTGCAGTTGTATGAATTATATGTCATCTGAGTTATGTACCAGAAGCAGAAATATTACTAACAGAATCTCTCTGGTTTTTATGTTGGAGAAAAACGGAAGGGAGTCAATTACTCTGTTAAATACCGTAAGAGAGTTAATAGCTCTCTTCTCCCATCAGGGGGTTTTATGGAAAAAGTTATCTGGATCCAAAATAAAAATGTCCTGGATCTGAGATTTTGTGATGAATTCAATTCAAGTATATAACGAAATCCTCAAAAGTCATAAACACTTAGAAAATGTTTGAATTGATACAAAAGGGCTGATGTATTCTTTCGCTGTGTCTCTCTCAAAATGTAATGCTCTATTAAAAGAAAAAAAAGCTTTTAATTCCTCCCAATATAAGGAGAAAGAGAAGAGGAATGGGACCTTGTATTACAAGAAAATACGGTTAGATGGAACTTCCATTTAAAAAAAAAGCCATGATAAATATTTTAAAACTGTGTTAACACGTCTAGGAGTTTCTATTTGGTAGCTAATACCAAAATCCACAGACACAACAGGTTATAAATATGACCTAGCTCTCCATAGACTGGAAACTGAAAAGCTGAGATAGTCTTTTTACTTTATCATATAAAATATTTCATTTGCCTAGCATCTTTTTATTTTTCTAGAAAGCTTTATTTCTATTTTTTTAACTATGGATATTACATTTGGATCTCTGAATATGTCAATACGTCAATTTATAGTTAATTACTTATAGTAAAAGTATTAATAACAGATCTCATTTCCTATTCTTCTATTTTTTTAATTTGTTAAAATGGCATACTGCTGAAATTTCTGATTATACTTTTTTTTTAATTCTAAATTATTCAGATTGTTGAAAATTAGAGTAGAAATCCTAAAAATCTCCACTTTTACCAATGGAGAAATTCACAATTTAAGACATAAATAAAATATTATACATGTACATAGGAATTAAATACTCTAGGCATAATTATTACACTTAATTTATTTTAATCAAAATCTGAAACCAGTTCCAAATGCCAAAAGGATATCCATTCAGTTAACAGTCACAAGGGCAAGCTATGGATAAAAGGCAGGGGTGTTATGGATTCGATTTAGCAAATTTTACACTCCAAAAAGGTATATTTTCATACAATGTTATATATAAATATGTAAATATATAGATATAGGTTTTATATGTGACACATAAATGTGCCAAGTATACTTTTTTGGGAGATTTAAAATTTGCATAAAATATTAGTAATCGTATTTTTATATATACAATCTAAGTGATTAATGGTATGATTTATTCCAATTATATATGTTATATATAATTACATGTTATATTTGTACTATATAGTATATTTAATTTATATATTATATACACACATATATGTATTTATGATAAATCATATACCATTAAACA